ACTCAGACAACAAACTGAATACCACACATCTTGGATTAACAGGACACACCACCCCTGTTTTTGTTACTGAACATCTATCCCCAGCGAACAAGGCAATTCATGCGGCGGCTAGGCTTAAAGCAAGGGAGAGAGGATATAAATATGTGTGGGTGCGTAATGGGAGAGTGTTTATGAGAAAGACTGATGACAGTGACTATATTTTAGTAAAAAATTTGGATAGCCTAAAAAAACTTATTTAAATTATTCTGGTTGTTCCTTTCTTATTTTATAGTCTTTTATGTGGTACGGTTTTTTATAAGATTCGATACTCTAAAATTGTACTATCAAAATTGTAGTGGTCTTAAGACCAAAACACATAGTTTCTATAATCAAATATTATGTAACAACTATGAAATAATAATACTCACTGAGACCTGGCTTAATGATTCTGTTTCGAGTAGTGAACTTTTTGATCCTAGATATGTGGTATATAGAAGAGATAGATGTTTTACCAGTAGTAACAAGAAAGAGGGAGGGGGGGTTTTAATAGCAGTATCAAGTAAATTAAAATCGAAGCGTATGAACGCTTGGGAGTCGGATCTGGAAGATCTTTGGGTTTTAGTCGATGCACCAGCATCACAGTCAATTGATCAAATTGCCTTCTGTGCCATTTATTTACCATCTCCTGTAAAAAGTGTAACTTATGATAAATTTTATGATACTTGTACTAGCGTCCTGGAAGAACAGTGCCTGCATTGTATAGTAGGTGATTTTAATCTATTTTCCATAAATTGGAGCTTGTTAGATGAGGATACTGCAAAATGTGAGCTTTCCACTGTTAGTCAGTCATTTGTTGATTTTTTAAATGTTAATGATTTGAAACAGTACAATCGTATAAAAAATAAGAATTTAAATAGAACACTTGATTTGGTTATTTCAAATTTACCTAACTGTACAGTGGAACAGGCACTTTGTCCCCTCAGTAAAGTTGATAGGCACCATCCTCCCCTTGACATAAATGTTAAGCTATTGAATGACATTAGATTACCTTACAATATTGAAAACGTACAATTAAATTTCTACAGAGCTGACTATGATAGTATTTGTAAAGAATTAGAGAGTTGTGATTGGGTAAAACTGCTTGACGGGTTGACAGATGTAAATGATATGATACAAATTTTCTACCAGAAAATTCGAGATGTTATTATTAAATTTGTCCCCAATAAATCGTCAAAAAATAACAACTACCCACCTTGGTTTGATCGGAATCTAATTAGAACGCTAAAAGATAAGTATAAAATTAGGTGCCGTCACAAAAAATATAAAAATCCCAGAGATGAGCTTGAACTGCAATTGCTGAGTAAAAGGTGTACACATATGGCCACAAATTGCTACAATAGGTATATAAAGCTAATAGAGAGTGACATAGCAAAAAACCCAAAACTATTTTGGTCCTTTGTTAAGGCGAAACGTGGTGGTTCAAGCGCCTATCCCCTCGCAATGACTGACGGAATGACAGTAACTTCTGATGGAGTGGAAACTTGCGAACTTTTCTCTTCACACTTTTCATCCGTGTACTCTGAGAATACTGAATGTACTGAGCAGGATTATGTTTATGACCATTCAGAGTCTTTGAAATCAATAGAAATTAATAGCCTTCACTTAGCAAAGCTGACAATTAATCATGATACCCTATTAAATAAACTAAAAGCCATCAATTGTAACAAAGGGGCAGGTCCTGACGGAATACCTCCAGTGTTCGTAGTCAGATGTGCTGAACATCTTGTTAACCCACTTTTAATTATTTTCAATCTTTCTCTTTGTACTGGGCAGTTTCCTACAGAATGGAAAATAGCTAAAATCGTTCCGGTTCATAAAGCGGGTAGTGCGGATTATGTAAAAAATTACAGACCGATCTCTATACTATCAGTCTTCGCTAAATTATTTGAGTCAATAATTTGTCCTTTTATTAAGAGACATATCAATCTTTACTTAACCACTAGCCAACATGGTTTCGTTAAAGCTAGGTCCACGAGTACTAACTTGGTACATATTACGGAAACACTAATTGAAGCGCTTGATGCGGGAAAACAAGTCGACGTAATATATACCGATTTTAGCAAAGCGTTTGATCGGGTCCCACATGATATATTGATTCGAAAGTTAGCTGCCTATGGTATTACTGGTAGTTTGTTGAATTGGCTAAAATCATATTTAAATGACCGAGCGTTTTTTGTAGTAGTGAATGGATATCAGTCAGGCTTGAAAAACATTCATTCTGGTGTGCCCCAAGGGTCACATCTCGGACCGATTCTGTTTGGAGTGTTCGTTAATGAAATACCAGAATTGATGAAAAGTTCTTGTGCGTACTTGTATGCGGATGACTTAAAAATTTGCAAGATGATAACGGAAGAGAATGATTCAGTGAAGCTACAAAATGATTTGGATCAATTGGTGGAATGGTGCAAAGTAAATCGAATGGACTTAAACATTAGTAAATGTCTTTATGTGCAATATGCGAGAAAAAGTAATACCATCGATTATAGCTATCACATTGGAGATAATAATATACAGCAGTTAGACCAAATTAGAGACCTAGGGGTTGTTTTCGATAAAAAATTAACTTTTGTGCCTCACATTGAAAACATTACTAAGCGTGCATCTAGGATGATGGGTTTTGTAATAAGAAATATCAAAGTTTTTCGAAGCTCTAAAATTAAAATTCTATTGTTTAACAGTTTGGTAAGAAGTATATTAGAATACTGTGTTGTAGTCTGGAGACCTCATTATGCTACACATTCACTGAGAATCGAGCGGATCCAAAAAAGATTCATAAGACATTTGTCTTACGCGCGTGGGCTTAGAAGTTATAAGAAGCGTGTATCATATGAAAATAACTTGGTCTATTTCAAAATGATTTCTCTAGAAAACCGCAGGGATATTATTGATTTAATTTTTGCTTCGAAAATTATTAATGGTGTTATTGACTGTCCCGAAATTTTAAGTAAATTTAATTTGTGCGTTCCCTATCGCTATCCGCGTTTTGCTCGTAAGATTACACCGTTGACTAGACCACATCGTAGAACAGTGTTTGGCTCCAATTCCCCAATTGCGAGAATGAGTAAAATTGTTAACAAATTTAGCGAAACAATCGATATATTTTTCGACCCTCCTAACAAGCTCCGTCGCACATTAAGAGACCATTTCTTGTAATATTCTATAAAACATTTTCTTTTCTTTTCGCTCTATGTATTTTTATTACTGTATATCATTATTATTTTTTTACCCTAGAAATAAAGTTACAGTGCTGAGATAGTTATTAGCATGTGGTATCCGCCTGTAATTATTTGTACATTTTAGTTCTTATTGGTTCATTGTATTTAAATAGCATGTAAGGAATGATACAAATGTTGGTGGATCAATAAATAAAAAAAAAAAAAAAAAAAACTATACTTCTAATATAGCTGCAGCATGGTTCTACCACGTAATGGCCTTAGTGGCCCATGAGTTGCGGTGCTAGCGCTGAGGGTCGCGGATTCGAATCCCGCACGGAACTACCATAATTGTTGCTCATTGTTGCTGTATGGCCTTGTGAAATTTAGATACAGGAGAAAATCCTAGTTTGGGAGTAATTTTTTTTAAATATATATTTTAATTATTCATAACTAACTAAATTGCTGGATATAATTGAATTTTATAAGTAATGGGGTTGTTATAAACTAATTTGCTTAATTCCGCGTAAAGAAAGAAAATGATATGTCCTGCCCAGTTTTAAGGGGACCTCCCACCCTCCCTCAATCGCGCACACTATACCCGTTAATCCCAGCACTACCACCCCCAGCACCACCACACTAGGCACGACACACCACAAAGTAACGCCTGATTCTATCAATTATTTTATAAGTAATTAAAAATCAATAAACAGTGTAGTGGCAGTGTAAGAATATCCACTACCCCATATCGTACCGTGGGTCGATAAGAGGCGACAGAGGGAAACACACTCAGGACCTTATAACAAAACACCAGCCAAGTGCGGGTCGGACTCCATACCATCGTACAAGATTTAACACTATGTAGGTTAAAAACGCGTTTCTAGTAGCCCCTTTAAGTTTTAATTTATTTTTATTTTTATTATTCGCTGTTATATCGGCAACAGAAATACACATTCTGTGAAAATATCAACTGTCTATCTATTACGGATCATGAGATACAGCCCGCTGAGAGACAGACGGCCGAACAGCGGAGGCTCAGTTTTAGGGTCCCGTCGGATACCCTTCGGGTACGAAATCCGAGCGAACTAGAAAATGAAAAACTGCGCTTGTCAACCCACTTTACATGTGGTAGAGCCATGCTGCAGCTATATTAGTAGTATAGTTGTAGCACGAATGGGTCGACTCGACCGGGGAAGGACCACGCTCTCACAGAATACCAACGTAAAATGGCAGCTTGACACTGCTGTGTTTCGTATGGTGAGTGTAGAGAACCGGAGACCCTTTTTACTGGAAACGGGGCATTCCATCTTAGTCCTCACGGGTGACAAAGCATCAGCATCTTGATTCGTAATCGAGGATAGATATAGATGTCTATGAGTCACAGCAACCACTTACCATCACGTGGATTGTGTGCTCGTTTGTCATACTATCCTATAAAAAAAGAAAAAAACTTGCTAAGAGTAACATCTATGAAAAATAGTCCCATATAAGCAATCTGTCTATGTTCTATGTTCGGCATTGGACTTTGATAGGCTGTGATGAAATGAATGATTATATAATTAAAACTATTAATAATTTTGAAAACAACAGTCATAAGACTATTGAAGTTGGAAAAAGTCACTTAGCCTATATCCGCTCGATAAAACGAAATGATGTGTCTTACCTAGTGTGAAGAGCACCTCCCGCCCTCCTTCTATTGCGTTCACTATCCCCGTCACCACTTATCCCAGCACCACTACTCCCAGTCTCCCACCACCACTACACTAGGAAATACGCTTTAAGACTTGCTTGAAATAAGAAATTACTTACATTCAAGCTCTCGCGATTCTAGGACACAAAGACACTGGTCCTGTTTACTTAATAACTGCTTAACGAACAATGATTTTCACTTTTATATCTGTTTTCCATCTCGAGTCTATTTTTCTAGACAACAATAACTTCGACGTTTCGTAGAAGTACTGTAGGCCATCGCTCACATTTCTAAAAGAGTTTTGGGGTTGGAGTCTGCCCTGCTGTCTCAATGCATATCGTCTTCTAACGTCCTAAAAAAAGAACATCAAATGTAATTAAATGAAATCACTTCTATCGCACCTGATGGTAAGTGGTGATGTAGCCTAAGATGGTGAAGCGCACTGACTTAACCAAAGCCTACTCACTCTTGCCTTCAAGACACCCACATTGTAATCGGATGGAAAGATATATAGCTATTTGCCCGGTATGCGATAGCAATATCTTTCTTAACCGACTTCAAAAAGCAGGAGGATCTCATTTCGACTGTATTTAAGTGTTACTTCAGAACTTTTTTTCTAGGTAAACCTATTTTGATGATTCTTTTTTATATGAAAGTTGGCGCTTCTCACGTGGTCCCTTTTTATAGGATAAGGGTGACAAACGAGCACACAGTCCACCTGATTAGTGGTACGGTAAGTGGTTGCTGTTGCCCCTAGACATCTACATCTATCGTCGATTACGAATCAAAATGCAGATGCGTTGTCACCCGTGAGGACTAAGATGGAATGCCTCGTATCCAGTAAAAAGGGTCTCCGGTTCTCTACACTCACCATACGAAACACGTCAGTGTTAAGGCGCAGGTTGAGCAAAATGTCGCGCTAGTCGTTATTTGGGCGGTTTTTAGAAGCTATCTACTTTTTATTTAAAAGATATATCAACAAATAAAAAACACATTATATTTCTACATAATCTTGATTCCATAAAAGCTATATCCAATTTTTTTTAAAGGAATAAATATTAATATAATCTCCTTACAACGAAACCACATAAATGTGAAATTATTATTGATAACATGCATCTCCTCGTAAAGTAAGTATTATTTTATTTTGCGATTTACACCAATGGATAGGCAATTTATTAATGAACATTTCTATAGTAAATTTTTTTTCAAAAGACCAATATTTGATTTTATTAAGAAATTATTTTAAAATCTGGGTATATTTACTGCTCACGGGCTTGCTGAAGTCAGTGAGCGCTGAGCTCTTCGACGAGAAGCCCGTGTCGTTAGAGCGTCGACCAACGCATACGCCACGTCATATGAGTCGATAATATTATTACTTATTAGGTTATTTATAGGTAGTATTATTTGTTTGTTTTGGGTATAATTTTTCGTATTAGTTATACATATATTTGTTGTGTTTTTTACTGCGCGATGAAGCTTTTTGCGTGTATTTTCTTTGAAGTAAATGCAAATAAAAAAATGAAGCACCATTAGCATGTAAGGTTCGAATCCATAATTAAAATTTCGACAAATATTATAATTTACACTATAAAAGGCTAATTCAATATTATCACCCAACCACAATATCTTATTAGGTGTAGTACTGCCTCGTTGGTCTAGTGGTTGTAGTAGTGCGACTGCTGATCATGGGGTCCCGGGTTCGAATCCTGGGTCGGGCCAAAAAGTCAGTTATGAGTTTTCATTTATGTTCTAAGTTATAATTAGTATTACTAAGTTATAGTTTTTTGCTAAAATATAGTATATTATTTATTGCTTGTTTTTTCTTCTTTTTAAAAAAATAATTGAGTACATAAGGTGTTCTATACTTATAATTCGGTAAAAAGTATCTAAGTAGGTACTAATATACCTACTTTTTACTATAAACTAAAAATTTTTAAAACTAAATTTAACTAAAAAGACTAAACTGACCATTTATTTTTTAACTCATAACAGGACATGGGTTTATTTATACTCTAAAAACTATAACTTTATACAATTAGTGTTCACTATAAAATTATATTCGGTATAGACGGTAATTATTAAATGCAACATATTTTTTTTAATTATTAATTACATTTGTCAGTGGATTAAATTTGCTTTAATAAAGTTGGTGATGATTTTAAATAAGAATAAAATTCTGCTCAAGTTTTTTATTGTTATCTTTGTTAACAACATCGCCTTTAGAACTCTGGAACCGTAAGTGTTTCTTTCAGACGTCCACAATTTATGCAAAATAAAAAAATACTCTTTCTACCGGAGCATTCGTACCAGGTAGACATAAAATATATTCGATTAAAAAAAACTATGTTGAAGATTGTTGACTTTGAATACTTCCATCCAACGAGTTACGGGACAATTTTGTGTCCCGGAGCTTTGTTTGGGGACAATTGGACAGGAGACCGAGAAAAGGGACAGTCCCGTTCAAAACGGGACGTATGGTCACTTTAGCTATAACCCGGCGACCATGAAGCAAATACAAAGTTAGTTTTTGTATTAGCTTCATGGTGGCGCAGTGGCTTAGCAATCAGTTGTTGCGCTGGGGGCTGCGGGTTCGAATCCCGCATGGAACAAGTATTTGTATGGCCTACAAATAATTGTTCCGGGTCTGGATGTTTGTCTTTGTGCAATTTATGTTTGTAAACTGCCTCCACGACACAGGAGAAAATCCTAGTGTGGGGGTAACGTTTTTTTACAACTGAAATTGAAAGATTGAACCCTTATACTTCTTGTTGATTTTTGTATTACCTTTATTAAAGTTACCCTTATGTATAAATAAATATAATTACGTATGTAGAAATAAAATTGATTTTCATCCTCATCAATCATTGGGGTGAGGATAATATCTGCTAGCATAAGTAATAAGCAGGCTAAGTTACAAGGTGCTCAGTTCAAAAATTAGTAGGTAACTTTTCAATACGTGACACGTAAAAATTAACAATAATCAAAAACACATCAGCGAAACATCCTATTTATTTATTTATTTTTTATTGCACCAAATATTTGTACAAAAGCCGAGCTATCTATTTATTTACCTATAGTGAATAGGTATCTTTTAAACTCACAATTTTCAATGCTTCAGTTTTAATATATAATTAATTATAAAATTTCATAATTAGATAATATATGAAAATACATAATTCTAATATAATGCAACTAATATATACAGAATAAAAAAATTAAAATACATTTATCTTTGTACGCTATGTGTATTTCCATAAAATAGTTTATTGATGTTGAAAAAATAATACTACTTTCGTACAATAGGTGGCGTCTTACATATTTCTTCCGGCGAGCCGCTCGCTACAATATTAATATATTAGGTCAAATGCTCAAGGTCGTTCGCATGGAGTAGCCCCTTAAGCTGCTATTTTAAGCTGGTATTCTGTGAGAGCGTGGTCCTTCCCCGGTCGAGCCGACCCATTCGTGCTACAACCATAACATAGCTGCAGTATGGCTCCACCCTTATAAATTTCATCAAGATCTGACCTGTAATTTTTGAATTATGCTTAATAATGCGTATTTAATTGACTTCAACTACATAGGTGGTGTTCTCATTTTATTTATATTAAAGTTGGTTGTACAAAAGTTTTTAATTCTACCACTTGTAAGAAATATGTGCGGGCGCGTACCATTGTTTATTGTAAGCAGATGAATGATACAGAAATGCATACGGGTTCAACAGTGAAACAATTATATTTATACTTTATATAGGTTTTTATTACTGAAAGTAAAATATATCTTATTGCTCCTCTCGTGACACAAACTGTTTTTTAAAAACATAATTTAAAATTGGATCACCAGCTTCCTTGCAGATCGGAGCATCAAGGTCGTTGTAGACGGTGCATGCTCCGACTACAAGCCTATTAACGCTGGTGTTAGACAAGGCTGTGTGCTATTACCAACGCTGTTTCTTCTGCATATCAATGATATGTTACTAACTGGTAACATTCATTGCTATGCGGGTGACAGCACTGGTGATGCTCTATACACCGGCCGTGCCAATATTTCTCAGGAAAACGTCGCCGAGTACCGGAACAAACTTGTGTCTGAAGTCGAGTCTTTGCTGAAGAAAGTCTCGGATTGGGGGCGACTAAATCTAGTCCAGTTTAATCCTCAGAAGACACAAGTTTGCGCGTTTACCGCTAAAAAGAACCCCTTTGTCATATCTCCTCAGTTTCAAGGCACTCCCCTTCTTGCCTCAGCCAGTATCGGAATTCTCGGAGTCGACATATCGAGTGACGTGCAGTTTCGTGGTCACTTGGAAGAGAAGGCCAAATTGGCCTCTAAAAAGCTTGGCGTGCTCAGCAGAGCGGGACAGTATTTCATGCCGGCACACCGCCTGCAACTTTACAAGGCGCAGGTTCGGCCTCACATGGAATACTGTTCCCATCTCTTGGCAGGGGCTCCCCAGTGCTGTTACTGTACTGTGAAATTTACAGCGAGCGCTATTCATATGAGTTAACACGGTTTTTTTAATATTATTTTTTACTTCAATCTACGCTTATCGAGCTTACAGTATCTTGAAACCTTGCAGTTGTATAATTGGGTTTGGATTTAATTACGAGTAGACTCCCGAGCAGATGCCAGCACCCAGCCGTCTTCTCTGTCCCGGCCATATTTTTATAATTTCAATAGTAAATCCCGTAAATCCTCCTTGGTAGCGAGGAATAGGAATCGGTGTTGTTTTGCGAGCATTTGTGTTTTATTAAATACTAGCTATTCCCCGCGACTTCGCCCGCGTGTTGTACAGCTCCTTCCACTTGACCGCATCCAGGGCAGAGCGGCTCGAACCGTCGACGACCGAGTCCTTTCCGTTCGGCTCGATTCATTGGCACTGCGAAGAGATGTTGCATCCCTTTGCATTTTCTTTCGCATCTACTATGGGGAGTGCTATGAGGAATTGTTCGGATTAATCCCAGCCGCCAAATTTCACGAACGCACATCGCGGCAGAACTCCCAATACCATCCACACCATCTGGATGATTGGCGGTCCACCACTGTGCGATTTAGAAGATGTTTTCTTCCTCGTACAACTTCCTTGTGGAATCGATTACCACCAGCGATTTTTCCGGACCGATACGACTTAGGGACCTTCAAGAAAAGAGCGTACTCCTTTTTAAAAGGCCGGCAACGCATCTGCCATTCCCACCCTGGTGAGGCAGTTGTTCATGGGCGGCGGTAGTCACTAACCATCAAGTGAGCTGCATGAACGTTTGCCCCCTCTCCTATAATAAAAATTAAAAATTTTGTACAACCGACTTCAATATAAATTATTAAGAATAACTCAAAAACTATTAGTCAGACTTTGATCAATTTATGGGACTACATGAGAAGCATCAGCTTTCAAATAAAAAAAAGAATCATCGAAATCGGTTCACCCAGTAAAAAGTTATGAAGTAACACACATAAAAAACATACAGTCGAATTGAGTACCGGCTTCGTTTACTTTTTCTTTTTATAGGATATGGTAACAAACGAGCACACAGTCCACCTGATGGTAAGTGCTTGCTGTGACCCATAGACATCCACATCTATGCTCAATAAAGATTCAAAATGCAGATGCGTTGTCACCCGTGAGGACTAAGATGGAATGCCTCGTTACCAAAAAAAAGGGTCTCCGGTTCTCTACACTCACCATACGAAACGCAGCAGTGTTAAGCTGCTATTTTACGCTGGTATTCTGTGAGAGCGTGGTCCTTTCCCGGTCGAGCCGACCCATTCATGCTACAACTATACTACTAATATAGCTGCAGCATGGCTCTACCATCTGATGCTAGGTGATTACTGCGAGGACTAAGATGGAACGCCTCACAGCCTGTCCTCACATTATACTTGCTCTATATCTCTATACCTTACAGACTGGGAGACAGCGGTCAAGCACTGCTATTTGCCGGTAAAGACAGGTAAGAGGTTAGTAGGTAGCACCTACTCCCAATCAACTCTTTGGTCGAAAAAGAGTCCTATCATCCAGTAAATAGGTTATGGAGCATTAGTCTCCAGAGTAGACATGAGTCATTCGTTCATTTCTAGTGAACCGATCATTCAAGTGTTGATTCAATCGGTTGATCTGGAACGTTCAAAAAATGTAATTGCAATCATCAATACTTTGATGCGACGAGGATCAAACGAACGAATTATTCACGATGGACACATGTCTACTCCAGTGCGTGTTGGGAGAAGTTTCATGTCTTTGAAATATTTTATTCTTTAGAGCTCTTACTTTACAAGATTTTCTTTCACCACATAGGTACATTATAGCGGTTATCGATAATCAGCATTAAAAATTTCAATTAACAATTTCATTGGTGTCAGTAGTAGGAATCGAACCCGGGTTGCACGCGTACTGTGAACCTTACGGTGAGAGCTTAACCGTAAGTTGACGTAGGTGTCTAATGATTAAAAAGAAAGTTGAAAGAGAAAAATTAAACAGGTGGTTCCATCATAAAATATCGCGGGCTAAAGCAAGTTGCCAAAGTCGTATCTTAAATCGCACGGAGGTGCGAAAGTAAATATTAGATTTGTTGCGACTTTTATAGTTTTCGCCTGTTCATTTCTTCACAAGAACAATGTTTTATACACTTCATAGAGCCATGCTGCATCTATATTAATAGTATAGTTGTAGCACGAATGGGTCGGCTCGACCGGGGAAGGACCACGCTCTCACAGAATACCAGCGTAAAATGGCAGCTTAACACTGCTGTGTTTCGTATGGTGAGTATAGAGAATCGGAGATCCTTTTTACTGGAAAGAGACATTCAATCTTAGTCCTCACGGGTGACAACGCATCTGCATTTTGATTTGTAATAGATGATAGATGTTGTAGATGTCTATGGGCCGCAGCAACCACTTACCATAAGGTGGACTGTGTGCTTGTTTGTCACCCTTATTCTATAAAAAAAATGTAAATGGGATTTGGGAACGTTGTTTCCAATGCGAGAACTGCTAGAAATACTGTCAAACTATTAATTTTAAATCTACATATTAATCTACATAATTTTAAATCTATCTAAATTGAAGCGAGCTTTGTTTAAACAATGAAGAATAAAACAGAATATATGTAGAATACAATAATTTCTATTCAACATTGATAAAATTTTACAATAAATTATATTCAACATTGAAATAAGAAACACAACACAATGAAGGCCTGTTCCCATAAGTAGGATGTCAGACCCGCTTGAAACTTAAGCCATTTTATGTACTTTCCAGAGGGCTAATAAAATTAAATAAAATAAAATTCTGAAGGGTAGATTTTCTTTAGGGACTTTCGTTCAGTCGGTGCGTTGTTTACGAGCTTAGCAGTTTCGTCGCGACATTAAGGTCCTGAAAATCGATCAGATTGCGGATAGTTCCAAAAAAATATCGACCTAGGTCATACGCTTCTATTTGACAAAAAATATTTTTTACGAATTTTGTCTTAGGTCAATTTAAGTACCTATTAATTTTTTTATTAGGTACTGTTTCGACTCCTTTGTAGCTTTCATGAGATGCAATGGGAATATAGAAAGTACAATAAAATCCGTAAAATATATTACTTATATTCAACGTTTAGTAATCGTATTCATAAAAGTCTTTATGTTCCACAGTTGTTTAAACAACGTCGTATACAGTGGGAGTAGGATAACGAGGCATTTTAAGATAACAATAGCATACAAATAGATATGCGTGTTTTAAATATCCTTTGATATTTCCTGCGCATGTGATACTTAGTTCTGGACGTCGTAAGTTAACTGCTGTCTTGTAATTATTATCCTCTTACCGTCCGTTTCTAGACCTAGATTTGGCTAAAAGCGAATTGGTTATCGTATTACAACAAAGATCTGATAATTTTTTGGACGGTTATTTCGTCAAAAAGTATATAAAACTATCTAATAAAATCCATAAAAATATTAATACATAACTATATAATATATATATAATATAATATATAACTTAAAAAACATAATATTTATTTAATTTTTTGAGATAATACATTTAATTTGCATATTTTTTACTATACTTACAGAACATTTTAGACAGCTTGTTGTTGTAGATGTGTGATTCCGGCGTTCCGGACGGATACAGTTTTGTGAACCCGTATCCGTTAATACAACTGGACGTAACTTCGGATTGTATTCGGGCACGTATCCTTTGAATCGTTTCTGCCACCGGATTGCAACGAAACACGTAGTAAATAAGCGAACGGAACAAACGCGTCACTATAGTAAACAATCTATGATGTGCACAGCAGTTAACTCCGGTCTGCTACCGAAGCTGGATACGAAACGTAGTGTTGAGAGTGGGGAGCCGCAACAGAGCGATAGATGTGGCCATCGACTTAACTGTTTATTAGATAGACGAAAGAGTTTATTGACCTGTGACCAATTTTAATTGATGTTGCGTGAATTAGTGATGACTTGACACGGAAATAGTTTTATCGATAGTTAAAACAATGATAAATAATATATTATAATGTATAACATTTTTGACGATTAGCGCAGTGGTTAAGCGATTGGTCATGACGATGCAGGGCCGTGGGTTAAAATCCCGCGCGAAGCAAGTGTTTGTATGGTCTACAAATATTTTTTCCCGGTCGGGATTTGTGTCCTTCTTCAATATACATATGTATGAGCGCCGTCTCCATGATGGATAAAAATAACGAGTAGCGTTTGGATTAGATAATATAACATTACTTCTTAAAATAATAAGAAGGCAATCACAAAAGTTTCATTTAGAACAATTTGAATATTAGCATATTCTTTCTTTTGTATCAGCCTCTGAAGACACTCATGGAATATTTTCCATAGTTACCACGCTTGGCAAGCGGGTTGGCAGTGGTGATATATGGATCTGAGACGTGGTGCCTGAGACAAACGGTCCGACTAAAAGTCTAACTTCAACCGAGAGGTCAATCGACGGATTCCGCTCGACTGGGCAACGTTCGAGAGATTATGACACATCCTCTCGTCAGGTATATTACCTGAAAACATTTTGTTTTTATAGAAGAGGGGGCAAACGAGCATGCGGCTCACCTGATGGTAAGTGACTACCGCCACCCATGAACAACCGCAACACCAGGGGAATTGCAGATGCGTTGCCGGCCTTTTAGAAAGGTGTAAGCTCTTTTCTTGAAGGTTCCTAAGTCGTATCGGTCCGGAAAATTCGCTGGTGGTAATTGATTCCACAAGGAAGTTGTGCGAGGGAGAAAACTTCTTCTAAATCGCACAGTGGTGGACCGCCAATCATCCAGATGGTATGGATGGTAACGCGAGTTTTGTCGCGATGTGCGATGGTGAAATTGAGCGGCTGGAATTAGTCCGAACAATTCCTCAGAGCACTCCCCGTGATAGATGCGATAAAATACGCAAGGAGATGCAACATCTCTACGCAGTGCCAGTGTATCGAGCAGATCAGAAAAACTCGGTCGTCGACGATTCGAACCGCTCTGCGCTGGATGTGGTCAAGTGGAAGGAGCTGGCACTGGGGTGCCCCGGCCCAGAGATGAGAACAACCCTCCACCTCCCATGGCCCCACCGACCCTCAGGTCATACGGGCCGAATCTCGGGAGATGCGCGCGGTACTTGCACGTGGCTCTTTCCCGCGCACACTTTCTTGACTCCCTACAAATATTTAATCTATTCCTTGTCCCAGTTTAACGTCATTCTCTTCCTTCTGGGGCTGACGACACATTGACGCCTACGTCGTCGGGCGCTCATACCAGCCTTCCATCCTGCCTTGTCCTGCGATCGTGCCACCTATGCGCAAACTCGCGCAACAGTCCGTAGTTTACCACATCGCTGACGAGATCCGAGTAGTAAACTGGTCCCTGAACCGGACGAACTAGTCCATCCATCATTTTCACTCTTAGGTCATCATACAGAGGACATTCCCATAGAACATGGTGAACATCCTCCTCCGACATACCGCACTCACACATACTAATTTCACACAGTTTCATGTCCCTCAGTCTCTTCCGAAAGCATCCATGTCCGATGAGAATCTGAGAGGTTTGGTAGTCCGGTGAGACCCAGGTATAACTGAATCTCAACGCCACGTCCGGGAAAAATCGATGTAGCTCATGTCCTTTTGTATCACACGTCCATCTATCCTGCCAGGCGCCTATCACCTCAGTCCAGATATCGCGATTCCGTCTGCTCAACTCCTCTTTTGGCGCAGTCAAACGTGCTATACCCATCCTACCAGCACGGATGACCTCTAGGTCAGCAGGGAGAACGCCAACCAGCACCGGTAAGGCCGCCGTGCTAGTGGATCGGTACGCCTTGGTTAACAATACAAGAGCGGATCGCTGCGATCTCAGTAGTACGCTACGAACTGTGTATATGTTTGCACGCTCGTACCAGCACTCTGCCGCATACGTAAGCGTGGACACAAAAACTCCTCTATAAATTAATTTTAAACTCGGATATCGTACACCCCATGATGATGTAGATACGCGAGACATCTTGCCGAATCCCTTGGTCGCTCTTTCAGAGATATCGGATGCATGTTGCACAAACGATAGTCCCGAGTCTAAAACCACGCCTAATACCTTAACGTTAGTCACAGTCTTAATAGATTCCCCACCAAGTTTAATAACGGGGGGGCGCTGAAGTTTCCCTCTAACAGTCATGGTGGTCGACTTTGAGGAGGAAAACTCCAGTCGATTCCTTAGCCCCCACTCCCGTACAAGGTCCAGAGTGACTCTGGCCCTGGATTCGATACCCGCTCTCGTACCCGATTCAATCAAGATTGTAACATCATCGGCATAGGCAGTCATGGCTACTCCCTCGGGCAGAGGGAGTCGGAGCAGGTCATCCATCAGCACATTCCACAGTGTTGGTTCCAGCACAGAGCCTTGAGGACATCCCATGGTCGACGTCTTCCACTCTACCCGGTCTCCGATGTAGAGGCCCACACGCCTGGAGGTGAAGTAGTCCACCAACATTCTATAAATGTTGGGTGGACATCCACCCCTTTTGGCCTTGACCATCATCATCGGCCACCAGGCATTGTCGAAGGCACCGGAGATATCTAAGAATATTGCTTGCACGTAGCATGCCTGAGAATACCTTGCCGTGCTGAGCAGTACACGCAGTGCTGTTACTGTAGACCGCCCCGGAGAAAATCCGTGCTGGTACTCGGATATCCCGCGGCTAATCGCGGGAGCACATCTTAAAATTACTCGTTCCAATAATGTTCCCAAAACAGGGAGGAGCGTTATTGGACGGTATGCCTTGACGTCGGTGAGCGGATTGTCATTACCCTTGGGAATGACAATCAGTCTTCCGTCCTTCCATACATTGGGGAAAACCCCCTCTTCCACACACTTGGCATACACCGAGTGAAATTCCCTCGGTGCCGCAATCCACACATTCCTCACGATTCTCGCACTCACTCCATCGAGTCCCGGAGCCGTGTTGGGCAAGGCCTTAACTATACCACCCAGTTCCTCAACCTTAAGTGGCGGCGCAGCTCCACCCGACGACATGAAAGCCGCCAGCAGACGAACCTGCCGGTGATAAGGCAAGTCGCAGTCAGTGCTGTCATCCGGACAGAGCGCAGACATTAATTTATGCATCGCTGCTTCCAGACCGTCCGGGTGTACACCCGCAAAGGCGATCCCATTGATCACATTTGCAGGCGGACGTACCCTGCCGATGGAGAGCCTGTATGCAAAGCCCCATGGGTCCTCATTGCCAGAGTTGGCAATCTTCCTGTGCTGCGACTGCTGCGCCTCCACCATCATCTTCCTATATCTCGCACGCACACTATGGAAAGCCATCCTGGCTAACTCCTCAGACCTACCTCCCAGACGCCTTTTACTCTGCCAAGCACGCCTAAGTTTGCATTGCAACTTCCGAGTTTTATCCAGTTCAAATGTCCACCATTCATACCCCCCCGACCCCCTGGGGCGACGCTCCCCTAGGCCTTCCTCCGCAGAGCGAATTACGACCCCTGAGAACTCCTTCGCTAGGAGAGCCGCGGGTTTTTCTACGTGCAGCCATCCCATTCGTAATTTGACAATCGCCCGGAACCTTTCCCAATCCACCCCTCGGTCACGAAAACGGGGGGGATCCCTAACGGATGCTGCGCGCGTCGTCGGCCTGCTGGTAGTGGCCGTGTAAGTTATTAAATTATGATCGCTGGCGCATACCCCCTCGTGCACTCGCCACTCGGCAAGGTAGACGTCCCCAGTGGAGAGGGTCAGGTCCACGTTGGACTCACCTCTAGGCCCAGAGAAGGTGTAGGGCTGGTCAGGCATATTTGCCAACGTTAAAGCATGTGTGATAATAAACGCCTCCATTTGCTGCCTTCGATATTGTACATTTTGTCCTCTTTCCACGTAGTGTCGGCGATCACAATACCAGAGTGGCGAGTGCGCATTGGCGTCGAGGCCCATGATCACCCTTCTGCCCTTAAGGCAACTCGGGGCGACCTCTAAGTGGTGCAGGTGGTCACCAATAGTGTCGCTAAATTTAAAGTACGCTGACACCACATAGAGGTCCCATCGGTCAACATGGCACACCACACAAAATTCGTTGCTGAGGTGGCTCAGCACTGCTACCCCAATTGCTGGGTCGGCAAGATAGATGCCCGCCCACGGGTGATAGCCCACCTGAACGATCCTCGCAACCTGGGAGTACTGTTCTTGTACAAGAACAATGTCCAGGTGCAGTTCACGCGCCAGGATGGACAGCTTAGCCGCGGCGAGCTCCCCTCGACCCAGGTTGATTTGTCCTAATCGTAGTGCCTTGTCTTCCTGGTTAACTATGGGGCTGCCCTTATCGGCAGTACTGAGTGGTGGCCACGGAGCGTTGCTCTGCATACAGCCTTGCTGGGCAGTTCCTCGTCATGGTCACGTGCGAGCCAGAGTCAGTTCTACCAAATCGCTTGCACGTAGCGCACTTCTCCTCCGTGGACTTGCAGGCACCACGTTCATGTCCCGCCTCTCCACATTTCCCACATACGACCTCCTTCGATCGGCAGTACTTCGCAGGATGCCCATACTGTTGACACCTCTGGCAGCACGTGACGTCCACGTAATCACACGGCTCAACCACGTCCCAGCCGACGTATAACCGATTGTATCCGATCAAGATATCTCTCAAGGCAGCCGAACATTGAAGGATCACGGTTGTCCTTCTGCTACCTCTCCAGGACTTTTTGAAAGCAATCC